GTGAAGCACCTGTAGTATGTCTACCAAGTCGGGGAGAAGAGACATCGAGCAGAGGAGTGCCAAGGACTAGTAGTGTCCTTTTCTGAAGCCGACCTTGAGATGGTGCAGCATCCGCATAATGATGCCTTGGTAGTATCCCTCCAGGTTAGGGAATGCCAAGTAAAGCGCATCCTGATTGACCAAGGCAACTCTTGTGACATCATATACGTCCGATGTTACAAGGAGCTTGGCCTTCACCCAAACGACATGGAGCAATCTAATAGCCTAATGGTCGGGTTCAACGGAACGCCGACATGGACACTGGGAACAACCAGCTTGGAGGTGCAGGCAGGCACCAGGAAGATAACAACAGAGTTCACCGTAATTGACACACCCTCCCCTTACAACATCATTTTGGGAAGGCCATGGTTGCATGCAATGAGGGCTATTCCCTCAACATTGCATCAACTATTGCGATTCCCAACAGAGCATAGGATTGAGGAGGTCAGAGGAGATCAGCTGCAGGCAAAGAATTGCTCTATGGCAGCAATGAAATCCACCTGCAGCATAAGAGAACCAGAGAAGGTAGAGATCCAAGACGAAGACTTGGAGGTCTTAGAGGATGTCGGTAAGGAGCCAGCCGAGAAGAGTGAAGAAGCACTGAAGAAAGTCCTCATCCAAGAGGGGGATGAAAAACGTTTCTTTCTTCTCGGCTCGGGCTTAGCTGAAGAAAATGAAAAAGAGTTGGAAGCTTTTTTGAGAGCAAATATTGAGCTGTTTGCTTGGACGCCTTACGAGATGCATTGCATTGACCCCGAGGTCACTTGCCATAACTGAATGTTGATAGGTCGGCAAAACCCGTAATCCAACGAGCAAGAAGACCGACATTGACACACGTTGAAGCAGTGGAAGAGGTAGTAGACAAACTTCTGGAGACAAGGGCCATTCAAGAGGTAAATTACCTGACATGGCTATCAAACACAGTGGTGGTGAAGAAAAAGAATGGTAAATGGAGGGTCTGCGTGGACTTTACCAGCCTGAACAAAGCTTATCCCAAAGATAGTTTTCCTCTACCCAAGATTGACCAGCTGGTAGACGCCACTTCGGGGCATAGAAGGATGAACTTCCTGGATGCCTACAGGGGATACCATCAGATAGCCATGCATCCCCCAGATGAGGAGAAGACTGCGTTTATCACCCCAAAAGGTCTGTACTGCTACAGAGTGATGCCTTTTAGGTTGAAAAACATAGGAGCAACTTACCAAAGACTGGTAACCAAGATGTTTAAACACCTGATTGGAATAACAGTGGAAGTTTACATCGATGACATGGTCGTGAAGACCAAGGAACCTAAAGGTCATCTGGCTGACCTGAAAACAGTCTTTGACATCCTTAAAACATATCGGCTTTGACTCAATGCAGCGAAGTGTGCATTTGGAGTGGGATCTGGTAAGTTTTTAGGATACCTGGTGACTAGAAGAGGCATTGAGGCCAGCCCAGATCAGATTAAGGCCATCCTAGAATTGAAGAGCCCGACGTCGGCAAAACAGGTATAAATGTTGATTGGAAGGGCCGCAACCCTGAATAGGCTCATAAGCAGAAGCTCAGACAAGTGCAAACATTTCTTCAACTTAGTGAAGAAAGCCACAGATTTTTTATGGACAGAAGAATGTGAGGCCGCCCTGGCTGACCTGAAGAAGTATTTGACTACAGCTCCAGTTCTTTCAAATCCAGAACCTGGGGAGGAGTTGTTTTTGTACTTAGCAATCTCAAAACACGCAGTAAGCGCAGTGGTAATCCGAGAAAAAAAAAGGGAGCAAAGGGCTGTTTACTATGTAAGCAAAACCCTGGCCGATGTAGAAACAAGGTATCTACCCTTAGAGAAATTGGCACTGGCTTTAGTAATGGCTTCAAAGAAACTGAACCATTACTTCCAGGCCCATAAAATTGTGGTGCTAACAGAACACCCCTTGAAGTCTTTGCTACAACAAGGAGACCTGACAGGAAGAATAGCCAGATGGGCAGTGGCCTTGGGACAGTATGACTTAGAGTACAGACTCAGAACAGCAATCAAAGGCTAAGTTTTGGCCGACTTCGTGGCCGAGTTCACACCAGAATCCATCGTATATTGGGCTCCGTTGAGCCGAGGTGAACAATGTCCAAGTAAGCAAGGAGAAGCCCAGCCAAATGCAACAGAACAAAGGAAAAAGAAAAAACTCAGACCCTGCAGCATTTACATCGGTGACTCCTTTCGACTGTTTGTCGATGGGAGCTTAAACCGGCAAGGAGCAGGGGCAGGAGTAGTACTGGCATCTCCAGATAGAGAGATATTGGAACAGTCCATTCGATTGGGGTTCAAGGCCTCAAACAATGAAACAGAGTATGAAACATTAATTGCAGGACTAAAGCTGGCGGTAGCAGCAGAAGCAAATGAAGTGATAGTCTTCTGTGACTCCCAGCTCATCGTCAACCAAACAACGGGTGAGTTTGCAGCCCGAGATGAAAGGGTGTCAGCCTACGCAAAGGAAGTCAATAGGTTAGTAGCCTTGTTTCAGAATTACCGACTACATCAAGTTAGCCGAGATGATAACAGTTACGCCGATACACTGGCCAATCTGGCCAGTGCAAGGAAAAGCAAGGACGATAATGGTCGAATACCTGTCGGGCCCGAGCATTGAACCACTACTCGCAGAGCACGAAGCAATGCGTGTGGATATGGGACCAAGTTAGATGGATACAATTGTAGCATTCTTAAAGGAAGGGAAGCTGCCAGATGACCACAAAGAGGCACACAAGATTAGATTGAAGTCGGCAAGATTCAGTCTGACAACAGAAGGACATCTCTACAGAAGATCCTTCACTGGACCCCTTTTGAGGTGTGTACATCCTTTATAAGTTGAAGATTTTTTATATGAAATAAATGAAGGAATTTGTGGAAGCCATGCTGGGGCAGATCACTTGCTCATAGGGCCATTACGCAGGGATATTGGTGGCCCTACATGTAGAGAGATGCAGAAGCCTATGTGAAAAAATGTGAAAAGTGCCAAAGGTTTGCACCTCTGATACACCAACCAGCAGCAGACCTGAATCCAGTATCCAGTCCTTGGCCATTTGCCTAATGGGGCATGGATCTCGTTGGGCAACTGCCCCAAGCAACTGGACAAAAGAAGTACTTGCTGGTAGCAACAGATTACTTCACCAAATGGATAAAAGCTGAGCCCCTGGCCAAGATCCGAGATGTGGACGTGAAGAACTTCATATAGAGAAGTATCATTACCAGATTTGGGATTCCAAGAGCGATAGTTGCCGACAATGGAACACAATTTGATAGCAAGCTAATCAAAAGCTTATGTGCAAAATTCAAGATCAAAAATTATTTTTCAACACCAAGCTTTCCTCAAAGCAATGGACAAGTAGAAGCATCCAACAAAGTTATCCTGGATGGAATAAAGAAGAGGCTGCAAGCAGCGAAAGGAAAATGGGTGGATGAGCTGCCAAGTGTACTTTGGGTATATCGGACTACGCCGAGAAGATCAACAAGGGAATCTCCCTTTGCCATGGCTTATGGCACAGAAGCTGTCATTCCACTAGAGGTCGGCATCCCAGGGATCAGAACCTAGGGAGTAGAGAATGAGACTAATGATGTACTCTTAGCCCGAGATCTGGATGTACTAGAAGAAGGAAGAGAGCTGCAATTCAGCTAGCAGCATACCACCAACAGCTTGCCAGGGCTTACAATAAAAGGGTTAACCCAAGGGAGTTCCAAGTCGGCGACCTAGTCTTGAGAAAAGTCGTCAGCAACAAGAAGGATCCTAGGGAGGGCAAGCTTGGCCCAAATTGGGAAAGACCCTGCAGAATTATTTCGATATTGGGTAATGGGGCATATCGGCTTGAAGATAATGGAGGCAAAGAGTTGCCAAGACCTTGGAATACTTGTAATCTGAAATTTTTCTATCATTAGATTTTCCTTATTTTTTGCCGACATAATGAATAAAATTTTAGCAGCATTCTTCTACATTTATGACTGATAAGATACTCACCGATGTTTCTGGAATACATGTATAATGAGAACCCAAGTGGAACTTTGGTTCACATTAGGGGGCAGAGAGAAGAAAAATGGTTTTAACACTTGTTGAAGCTTAAGAAAAGTTTACAAGTTGAAGTTAAACCGAGATGATGTTTAACACTTGTTGAAACTTGAGAAAGGTTTACAAGTTGAAGTTAAACCGAGATAACGTTTAACACTTGTTGAAACTTGAGAAAAATTTACAAGTTAAAGTTAAACCGAAATGATGTTTAAACACTTGTTGAAACTTGAGAAAAGTTTACAAGTTAAAGTTAAACCGAAACGATGTTTAACACTTGTTGAAACTTGAGAAAAGTTTACAAGTTAAAGTTAAATCGAAATGATGTTTAACACTTGTTGAAACTTGAGAAAAGTTTACAAGTTGAAGTTAAACCGAGATGATGTTTAACACCTGTTGAAACTTAAGAAAAGTTTACAAGTTCAAATTAAACCGAAATAATGTTTAAACACTTGTTGAAACTTGAGAAAAGTTTACAAGTTGAAATTAAACTGAAATTACGTTTAACACTTGTTGAAACTTGAGAAAAGTTTACAAGTCAAAGTTAAACCGAGGTGATGTTTAACACTTGTCCAAACTTGAGAAAAAGTTTATAAGTTGAAGTTTGACTAAGGTGAAACACTTGTTGAAATTTTATGAAAAAATTTTACAAGCGGAAACCAAGGTCATGCTAAGAAAGGTACTTGGATACTCGCCGAGGTAAATCATCAGTTTGTATAACCGAGGTGTTCCACCCCAAGAAGGTTGCACAAAGATTAAAATGAATATTAAAGATATGCGAAATACTCTAAGTATGGAATAACACAAGAGCAATACAGAGAAGACAAAGATACAAGCATTCAAAAAAAAGAGTTATATTAAAAAGCTGACATATCGGCCAAAGCTTACACTGTTTTAAAAGAAAAACAAAAGTACACAATACAAAGGAAAAACACATCAAAGTAAAGACTCTTTGGTAACAACAGATGGTTGGGTCTGAAGTTCGGACGACTGTTGGGAAGATACCTCGGCAGCCTTTTCCCCCGCAAGTTCGGCATCAATTTCTTGAAGTGTTTCATCAATGCTCCTGTCGGCAAGGGTCACGTCGGCTGATGTCTTTCCAGCTGTAGCATCTTTAGGAACCTCCTCACCCTCCTCATCTTGAGTCAAGTCCAGGACTTGCTCATCCAGAGAAGGGGACTTGGTCCCAGCCGCCTCTTTTGATTTCCTCACCAAGGTCTCCTCCTCGGACTCAGATTCGCCGTCGGATTGAGTTAGAGTTGGAGGGAATGGAAGAGGAATGACGTCGGCGTTCCTGAAGGGCGAGTCCTCGGGGATTTCAAGCTTTTTTAGAAGAGATATCCAACCAAGGGTGAAACCCTTGTTGCATGCCTGCTTCACCTGCTTTTCATAGTCAGTCGTGACATCGGCCACCCCCTCATTGTAGCCCTTCTCATCGGCTGCCTTGAGCTCGGCGTCCTTCGTGGCCAAGGCCTCTTGCAATTCTTTTTGGGCCTGGGCCATTTTCTCCTCGACATCCTTCTTTTCGGCCTCAAGCAACTTCTTCATGGCCTCAGCAGAATTCGCCTTTTCTTCGGCATCGTTTTGAGCTTTGATGGCAGCCTCGGCCTAATCCTCCAAAGTCTTCATCTTTGACTACAGATTTTTGTTAGTCTTTTGCAGACTGGAGACCTCCCTATTCTTGTCGGCCAGCTCCTGCCGACTCTCAAAGGCTTGCACTGAGAAAGAATGAGCATGCTAGATGGCCTGAAAGTAAACAGAAGTTATTAGAAAATATTGCAAGTATGCAATGAAGAGAAAGAAAGAAAAATTACCCAATAAAGAGACTTACCTGAACAGAATGCTGGAGCATCAGAGCATAGTTCTCATATTCGCTCATCTCAGCGTTTCGGTCAAGATCGCCGGGAAGGAGCAGAACAGTACTATGGGCGACGGCGACATTAATGTCGTTGGCACTGTCGCTAGCCTTAACTGGCTTATCTTCCAATGTGATTTGGGGGGCCTAGGGGGCATCGTGCTTTGAAGACCCTGAGGTGGTTGTAGCAGATGACCTCGGCCTCTTTGATCGGGTAGACTCAGATGGTTGGGCCTCGGCAGGCCTCTTCTCCGCTGCAGAGTGGGACTTATCACTCTTAGCCAGTTTGGAGATCGGCAAGGTGTCCTCAGTATCAACTTGAGTCACCTTTGCCTTTGGCTGAGCCTTCTTTATCCTTTTCTGCTTTGGCTTTGGAGGTTGGGTTGGGGCTGGTTGAGCATCAACAGAGGATGGAATGTTGGCCAAAAGATCCTTGGCGACTGTTTTTTGACGGCCCATTTCAGCAGCAAAAATCGTTCGTCGTCGACGTTGGTGTTGAGATGACGAGATCAGATATGGAGCCAAGGTTGACGGCTGATCTGCTGGGTCAGAAGTTGATCCTTGATCTGGCCGAGATGAGGAAGCAGATTGAGGAGTTGTAGCAGAAGGCGAAGAAAGGCTTTTCTTCTTCTTCTTGGGAACGTTAGGGAGAGTTGACTTGTAGGTAGGAATGAAATTGAGTAGAAGAGGGGCCTTCCGTTTGTGGACTGGCATATCCAAAAGCTTTCTCAAGTCTTTGCTGGGAAAGAAAGACTGACGGAAGCCCTTTGGTGGCTGAGGGAGAGCTGCAAGAAAGGCGGACATTAGAGACAAATAAAGTATTGAATACTTTAAAAACAAGTTAATATGAACACAGGGCTTTTACCATTGCCCTTTACAAAAACTGATCGAGGAAGAGGGTAAAGATGGAGGTCCTTATTTGGAGCGAACTCCCAGTTCCCGGAGGTAATGAAGTAGTCGTCTCCAGCTCCCTTGTTGGAGTTTGGGAGGTCGGCTACGATTTTGTACTCTGCAGATCTCGGCTTGAGGTAATAAACGTAGCCCGTATCTTTTTTGAGGCCACACATGGTATAGCAAAACTGGATATCGGCTAAGGTAAGCCTAACGTTTTCTTGTTTGGCTAAGGCTATGATACCATTAATAACTCGGTAGGAGTTGATGGCAAGCTGCATTGGATTCAACTTATAATAGTGAATGATCTCATGAAAAAGGATATTGAGTAGGAGCCGAAGTCCGCACTCGATGAAAGCTACAATAGGAAGGGGCATGGAATCAGCTGTGGAAATGATGGAGTCATTCTCCCTAGCCAACCTCAGATGAATGTCGGCTGGGATGTCAAACTCCTGCCTAAAGTGCTCTAATTTGCTCGGGGTATCTACCCTATGCTTCCACATACCCATGATATCTGCTTAACCGAAGGGGTTGGATTTCAGAAGGGTGTGTTTCTAAAGGGTTTTATGGACCTCGGCTAAAGCTTGAAGATACACAGAATCTGTGGGGAATCGTTTCAATTTTCCCTAAACAATTGTTTTGAGTTCTACAAACAAATCCCAAACCTAGATCTATGGAAACGAAGATTGAAGGCACGAATCTGGAAAACAGAAAAGCAAGAACGTGCTTCAGAATCAAGAACAGAGATGGACTATCAAGAACATTGTAAGTACGAAGGGTATTAGGTCAAGAACAGTGGCAAAAGTGCGGAAAAGTTGTGAGCAATACGAGTATTCAAGACATGAGCAAAAAGCAAAATCGTGAAATAAATACGCTTAGAAACATGATTCATGAATCAAATATTTGAGTAAAACAGCAATGGCGATGAAGCAAAATTTCTTGGAGCACAACAAGAATTAAAACCAGGAGGAATGGTGACTTACCAGAGAAAAGAAGCTGATGTTGAGATCGTCGGAGTCAAAAGAACGGCGGCAGCGGAGCAGATTAGCAAGAACCTCGCCGTAGGAAATGAACAGAGCAAGTTGCAAAGCTTTGGAAGCTTGAGGAATGAAGGATCTTGAAGGGAAAAGTTAGAAAGAGAAAAAAGCTTCAGACGCGAAAGTGAAAAAGTGAAGAGATGAAGAGAGAGGGAATTGATTTTTGTTAAAACACAGAAACGGCGACAAAGAGGTTATTAATGTGCCTAGAAAAACGTATGCGTCAGGCGGCGCACGCAAAAATGATTTGATTTACAGGCATGTATCTAGTACAGTCTAGTGAGAAAAAGACGCGTGGCTGAAAACGGTTGAGTTGTTATGCACGATAACTCATACGCATGAAAGAGCACTTGGAAATTCTTGTTCTGTAAAAGGCATGTCGGCCTGAATGACGATCTCGACTGAGATATGTTAAGCTGACATAATGATAGGAAGTACCGATATAGGTTCCATCACCTCAGAATGCTGAGGTAATAGAACCTAGGGGGCAGTTGTGGGGATATATTTTTAGAGTACCAACACGTGGCCAAGGTGATGCCGACGTGTCAGCCGAGGTGCCACGTGTCCGGGTCATGACGCCAAGGTAATCTCGGGAAGGCCGAGGTTATCTCCGAAGATATCGGAATCCGAGATAAGTGGATAAGGCACAAGAGTCCTAGAATGAGGAAGGACTTTAGAATGGATAAGGATAACCCTCTTAGGGAGTTTATCTTTATCTATTGGAGAGTCCAGAATAAGTACTAAGCAGAAGTCCATTGAAGCTAGGCTTCTGTTGGGACAAGGATTGAGCCAACTATAAAAGAAAAGCACCCCCGATGGGTCTAAAGTACGCAATTTATACTCTGAACAGTGAGTTTAACACTATTGATTATCTTTGAGAGATATACTGACTTGATCGTCAGAGTGCCCCCGGGTGGACGAACCACCATCGAAATATTCTCTTTCTGTTGCAGGTCAGACAGGTGCTATCTATTTTGCCAATGCTTTCCAGATGAATACTGAGTTGACAGTGTGGTCAGAAAATCACTCACACAGTAGTTATCTATGATTTTAGCCCTTTCAAGCACTTGGACATCTTTATGAGTGTTTATGAGTGTATCCAGAAGGACTGCATACGATGCGAAGTAACGTTTGATAACATCACCATGGCAACACTGCTCAAAAGCAATGAGGTTTCTCAAGAATGGCTCGGAGGAGTCATATAGCTTCAACTTTGGGATTTCAAAATAAGCTCTATCAAAAGGACCTTCAGGATTCTGAAACCTGACCTCAGTACCTACTCTAAACTTGACTCCTGCATAATCGAGGTCTGATGCACAAGGCATGACCAGGCTGCCTGGGTTTTGTTCTTGTGGTTTTGCATAGTGGTTGTGTAGAATATGAAGGATATGACAATATTCGTTGTTCTTTGGTGGTGGTGGTAGTGGTAGTGTTGTTCTGTTGTTTCCTGAATCCCACATGTTACCAAAATATGGAATGACATAGTCAGTAAGAGTTCCTTGCCGTGCACCAGCTATATGAGCCACGGTGAGGTCGAACAGTTTGTTGAGGACAAAGAACGGAAGCTGGCTCTCAAGCAGTAGCAAGTCATGTCGAACGTAGATGGGCATCAGAATACTATCCAAAATAGGATCAATGCCATCATTGGGCTTCCCATGGTAATTAACATAGAGAAGTTCTAGTATGAAACAACCATCAATCACCAACATCTGTTCAATCAGCTGATCATCAACTTCTTCCGCATAGCATTTCTTGGCTTCATCCAATACCTTTCTCATTTCGCTTACACATTCCATTAGCACCGTGGATTTACACTGCTGTTCCGATCCACCCTTCTCCAAGGACCAAATTCTACCAAAGAGGGAATTCACGTAACTCATTTTGACGTCCTGCATATGATTTGCGAATGTGTGGGTCCTTGCTGTGAAGAGGCCCAACAGAGACCAAGCAAGGTGTATACGCACTTTCTTTCAGCTTACGAATCTCCTCTGGGACCCTGTAAATGCTAGCGGAAGAAAATTTCGATTGAGTCTTGCGTGCTGCTTCAACCATTTTCTTATTAATGTCCTCTGTGACAAGCCTCTGAATCTCTTCCTCACTGGTACAGTAGTACTCATTCCTTTCACTTCGTTCAATTGGGACGGAAATGGGACCGCCATTGATCGACGACATTGACAAGCAATTATCTTCCTCCATATCGATCTTAGGTAGTGTAGTGCTCAATTTGGATGGGGAAAAAAAAAATTTGGCTCAAGATTTCTGGGTTTTTAGGCAGGCAATCCCTACTGGCACCTCTCTCTCTCTATATATATATATATAGATCGTTTTTATTCGTTTCTTTAATCAACAAAAGTTTTTCCTTAGGCATTAAGCCATTATTGGCACAGTTACTTTGCTTGAAAATTTGTCAACAGTGTGATACCACTTTGTTAAAAAGAAAAATTTGGACTTCACTCACACAACATAAAACTAGGGAGAGAAGTGAATATAGTAAGAAAATACTTTTGTAATTTTTATTTTCATTACTGTTGGGGGTGGGAATGGAGTACAGTTTAATTTGCTATTGAAATTTTATGGATATTTAATTTTATAAAAAATAATGATGCAAAATGAAAAAATCGAGGATAAAATTGATAATTAATAGTATAAGAAATAAACTACAGATACTACATGTGTGATTTGATATTTTAGAAACACGTCCTTAGACACTAACATTGTTACAATTCTTGTTGTACAAGTACAAAACAAAATGATAGCAAGTAAAGGAGGATGACTTGCATTGATCTAGATCATGCAAAACATAATGGTATAGTAATTATCTAGTAACACTGGCGAACTATTGATCATTCCCATTATTCACCGAAACAAACTGTGAAGGAATTGTGTCACTGAGATGCTAAAAATGATAAAGGCAATGCAGAAAGCAATGAGTGTCCATGGCGTAGAAAAATACTTATGTCTCATTTGTGCCATAAACGCAGTCCAACAACAATTGCTGGATATCGATTTTGTTCAAGCGACAAAAGCTCTCAAAGTTGCCGTGGAGTTGGATATCGATTTTGTTTGTAATGAAGACGCTTGCCTCCAAGACTTCGTCTCTAGTGAAATTTTGAACCGCAAAAGATTTCATAAATCAACCAAAAGAAAGAAATGAGGATACTTTCATGGAATGCAAGAGGCCTCAGGAAAACAGAGAAGCGGCGGAGAACTAAAGATCTAATTTTGTCAAGGACAATTGATGTAGTGTTTATCCAAAAAAAAACAGAGCTATTTGGGTTTTGGAGCCAAAAATCAGATCATTTTGGGCTAATGGGAAGCTATAGCATCATAGGGTCTATCAGGAGGCCTCATCACAATTTGGGACTCTGCTACTAGTTCAATATATTAAACAGTGAAAAAGCTAGAAATCCCTAGATATTTATTGAGTTGTCATTATGTATCAATTTTAACGAGTAAAACAATCCCAATCAAACAATCAAGACAAATCAACACAATGATTTTAACATGGAAAAATCACAATTAGAGTGCCTCCAATTGTGATAAAAAAATCACGGGCAAAAATCACAAAACAATCTACTAAAAAGACATAAAGGAATTACACAAGTATACTCTCAATTACCTAGCGAATCCACGCTCAAATTGAACCAACCTCTATATGCCTCTTCCAGCCCTGTCTTCACCTTGGAATTTTCTTTCCGAACGTTGAATCCACAACGCCGATGTCGAATCACGATGATGAGCCACTCTAGAATCCACCAAAGCTTCAGGCTCGAATTCTCCAGAATCCACCGAAGAACAACTCTATCTTTGTGTAGAATAATCAAACAATCCTTTGATGTATGCTTCTTATACCATGAGTTGAATACTCAATCAAAACATCAAAAAAAACTAGCAAAATAGCTCCAAATATAAACCCTAATATCCAAGAAGAAGATCTGGAGGCGTTACCCTAGATTTGGACTGAAACACGTATTTATAGAAAACTGTCCCGCGATCTCCGCTCGACTGCCGGAATGGCCGCTCGAGCGGACTGACGCTCGAGCGTGGAAAATTCCACTCAAGCGGGAAAAAACATATCGCAGTATTTTTGCAGGCGATCAAACTTCTGGAACCAAGGATTCTCCGCTCGAGTAGGGGAATGTTCGCTCAAGCGAACAAGCAACTTCGAAGGCAATTTTCCATTTTGCTTCAAGGGCGCTGCCCCCTGGACCCCCGCGAGCTGACCGGGCAACTCGATCCCCGTCATAGTCAGCGAAGTGGCAATCTTGAAAGAATTAACACCACAAACTTCTCTGCAAGGCACAATTCGGGTTGGATTCGCATCTAAAACACATAGCCTCACTGAAATAAAAAAGTGCAAATACAAGTATAACTGAAAGGAGTTTTGTCAAACGGGATTGCCAAGAATAAAAACCTAACAAACAGTATTGAGATCGAGCTGAACAACAAAGCCAAAATCAACAAAGCTGTAAATTGAAAGAAATGAAGCTGTAATCATCGAGGGGTGAGGGAGAATGATGTCGTCTCTCTGGGTCGAAAGAAATGAAGCTAGTGGAAGATTTATTCGTGAGGAGTGGATCTGAAGAGGGATTATTTTTAGTGCTTTGCTCATTCACCATATTCCAAAGCTATAATATTTTTGCTTGAAAAAGGGATGGGTCAAATTTGTGTCATGTGACCTGAAGTTAGTGGAGAAGTTTATGGAGTTAGTGTGGGTCCTCAAAAGGTAATGCGGCGATTAGTGGAGATGTTTCTTAACGGAGATAAAAGGAGTCTTGGGTGCTAGTCTGCTGCTTCAATCAATTGTGGAGTGTCTTCTTGGCTTTTTATTTTGCTTGCTTTTCTTCTGTTTTCTATTTTTTAGCTTTTAAATCAAAAAAATCATGAGATTGAGGAATTGGCTGGTTGGGTGTGAGTTGCAGTAGTAGATGAGTCTGTTCACTCTTTGTTTCTCTCCGTGCACTTTGTTGGGATCTGGGATCCCGCCCAAGACCTTATAGAAATTATTCCATGCAGAAAAACACACCCACACTCAAGGAGACACAATATTTAACGTGGTTCGGCCTCAATGCCTACGTCCACGGGAGAGTAGCCGGTTATCACTATAACAATGGAAATATTACAGAAAGATTACAATAGAGGAGGAGCTCACACTCTCCTCACTCACACACTCACCCGTCTCCCTCGCTCACACCGAGGGAGACGGTCTCTCCGCCTCACATATCTCACTCTCTGACTTGCTCTGTTTTCTCACTCTCTCAATTAAACTCTCACCACAACCTCCATTTATACACTAACAGAGGGAGAGCTTGGCTGTCCATGCACATGGCCAGCTCTTTCTCCACATGTTGCATCTTCTTTCACATGGCCAACACATCTTTGTTGGCTTTGCACTCTTGCAGCACATGGAGGATCACCCCTCACATGGGGTGATGATATTCCACAAGTCGGTCCTAAAACTTAGGGGTTTGGGGCGAATTTTAAAAATAAGAATTCCTCTTACATTAGGAAAAAAAAAGATCTTAAATAAAATGATAAATTACAACTTTTTTATTTATTTGTAGCCATTAAAAATTTATTTGCACATATAATCATTAAAATTATAAACAAAAAAATTTAATGAAACAAAATTAGGGCAAAAAAATTAGAAAAAATTATTCAATTAAAACTAATAAAGATCTAGATAAAAAAAATTAGAGCAAAATTATTTATTCTACTAAAATCTAATAGATAAAGAAGGTAAAAAATAAAATAAAATTAGGGCCCATATATTGTATGTATTGTTCTTCTTGAGCTCAAACACTTTTTTTTTAAATATATATTTTCATTTTAATAAATATGGGACAAACTACATTTACAAACAAATATGGGTTCAACTATACATGGACCCAATAAAATATTTTGGGACCCCTTAAATTGATTTTTTAAAAAAAAATATTGGACCTATAACATTTTACTAAATTTGAAAACTCTATTTTTGGACCAAAATTTTGGAGTCTAACGCACCGACCTTACTGGCCTTAAGCCAGGGCCGGCCCTGTTTCAGAGTCCCATTGTTGCTATCTTAAAATTATTTTTGAATTATTTTTGTTTCTTCTCGTGCAAGTACAATTAGAATGAATTAGTGTTCTTCATTCAGTGTTCACTAAGTACTAAAAGAATAGGATGAAGCCACAAATCAAAGTTTCTCAAAATATAAAAGTTTGACTTCACTCAATAATAATATGTAGATTATACCTAGAACTCTTTCAAACAACTTTCAGATTTCATTTTCTCCTCTTGTGCCTTTTACTTCTAAAAAAATATAGGCTGCCATGGAACTAAAGAAACCACCATAGAGAAATAAGACTTGCCACTCCTTGGCACGCACTCTTGCGTTTTACCTATCTCAATTTCTCTGTCTGGAAGTTCCTGTGAACTTTCAACAACCCGTTGCTGCATACTCCTCTTGCGCCTCTGTACGATACTCTACCGTACCCTTGCACTGCTGCACGTCTGCATTTGTGCTTCTGCACTTAGTATGCTCCTCTGCAACTATTGTTTTACATGTCCACGTACCACCAGTACTTACTCGTATACAGTAGCTCCAACAACCACAGTATTTCCCTAAGCCTGTACTGGTTGCCAAATCATCTATCCGTCGATGAATGGTCTGCTCTTTTGATTGAACCAGATCCCCCAATGAACTCCGGAGATAATCATCTTTGCAATCCTCTGATCACCCCTGACCAATCCTGATCTCCCTTGATTTGCCATTTGATCAAGCCTGATCTCCTCTGGTCTTCAATGATCTATCTCAATCTGTATCTGGTTGTCCAATCTGGTCAGAATCTGCCCATTCTAACCTCTTCAGTGAATCCGCAGCGTTCCACAATATCCAGCAACCTTCCTTCGAGTATTGAAGATGACAAACACCCATGTTTTGACAATCTTTCCAAACTGTTCAGAATTTCACTATTCTGACCTCGCGGTTGCGTCCGGAGCGGTCCGTTTAGCTAGAACCAATCTTTGCTGCATTTTCGGGGACCTCACTGAAAACTATCCCCGAAAACTGGGCCACACCACAATTTTCTGAAAATTCTGGGCCAAATTGCAATTTTCAGAAGTTCAGGGAATATTCCGTGTACTAACAGAATATTCTGTTTATTGCACCTGATGCCGTACGTCTCTTTAATCTGCCTTCTTTTTACAGAAACTCCGTCTCCAAAATCTGACCGTACGGATGTGTCCGGAATACTTCAAATAGTCGGAAACCTCTATTGGATCACCAAAAACGGACCTCAAATGGCTTCGATCTAGCCAAAACATTTTGTACGCCTCAGATCTGCGGCTGTACCTTCGCCGCAAAGCACTGGATCCTTCCACATGCGGCTGCACCATTGCCGCGTAGCACTGGATCCCTCCCTGTATGCTGACGTGGCAGATGACATGGCTGCCACGCGTCACTGACCTGGCTGCTGACGCTTCTGTTGACGGGGCTGCCACGTGGATGACACGTGGCGTTGATGATGACACGTCGCTGCTGACGTGGTACGCGCGTGCCTTACACGCGCCTTCCCCCACTTACCTTCGTCCTTCCGCCGCGCGTGGGGCGCGTGCCCGCTCTGATACCAATTGTTGGGATCTGGGATCCCACCCAAGACCTTATAGAAATTATTCCATGCAGAAAAACACACCCACACTCAAGGAGACACAATATTTAACGTGGTTCGGCCTCAATGCCTACGTCCACGGGAGAGTAGCCGATTATCACTATAACAATGGAGATATTACAGAAAGATTACAATAGAGGAGAAGCTCACACTCTCCTCACTCATCCATTCACCCGTCTCCCTCGCTCACACCGAGGGAGACGGTCTCTCCGCCTCACATATCTCACTCTCTGTGACTTGCTCTACACTCTCTCTCTCTTAAACTCTCCCCTCAGCCTCCATTTATATACTAACAGAATAGGAGATGAAGAGGGGCTGGCCAGCACATGGCCAGCTTGTGCCAACTCTCTTGTGTGTTGGCTTCACATGGCCAAAGGTTGGCTAACATGGCAGCTCATGTGTGTGTTGGCTTTGCACATTGCCAACTCCTTCTTCACATGGAGAATCACCCCTCACATGGGGTGATGATATCCCACACACTTTACCATCTTGTATCTTTAATTTCATATTTATAATGAAATTTTTCTTTACCGATCAAATAAAAAAACAATGCTTGCTGAACTCATCAGCTTTCTTGCATGCTTCAGAGAAATAGAACTCTCCCAGAACTACTTCCTTGCAGAGCTTGTTGAAGAGATCGGAGGCCTCTTCATTTGCGCCTTAATAGTTACATATCACCCCGGCTTTTCCAAGCACTCCCACATGTTTTGCATTGTCTATGAGTCTGTCCATAAGGAATGCGTAAGATGTGAATAAGCAAGTAACACCAGGGCAACACTGCTTGAGCGCAATGATGTTTCTCAAGGAAGGCTCAGTGAAATCGTAAATGCAGAGAGATGGGATTTCAAAACATGCTCTGTGACACCATTTGAAAATGCCTCGAGCTCCACTGAATTTAACTTTGAAATTGAACATGCCTTGTTCATTATCGGGCATAAACTTGACTCCTGCGTAGTCGAATTCAGATGCAGAATGCATGAATTCGCTGAGACCACCTTCTTTGGGTAGATCATTATCAGGAAGGTAGTTGTTTTGTAGAAGGTGGAGAATATGATGATTAAATTTCCCACTCTTCTTTGGTATGGTACTGACTTTGCTTTCATAATTCATCGAGTTGCCAAAGTATAAAATGACAAATTGACTAAGCGAAAGACTAATATCCGGTATACGATCCAGGGTGAAGGGGAACAACTTCTCAAGAATAAAGAAAGGACGCTGGTTTTTGAGCAGTATCAAATCGTGTTGAACATTGGCACACATCTGAATGCTGCTAAAAATAGGATCGCCGGTACTAATTTGGTTCTTTTCTTTAGGAGGATAGTTGATAAGGTAATACCTGTAGAGAAGTTCGAGTACGAAACAACCATCAATCAGCAACATCTCCACATCCAGCACGTCTTCAACTTCTAACGCATAGCATTTCTTGGCATCTTCTATCGACTCTTTCATTTCGTCAACACATTAGTTTATCGACTCTGATACCCTGGTGGGCATTCGATGAGAACGGAATTCACATAGCTCATTTTAATGTCCTGCATCGGCGATTTCAGGAAATGATTGACGTTGCTGAGAAGAGGACTGATGGAGACAGGCGAGGGGTGTAGGCACTTTCTTTCAGCTTACGAAGCTCCCCAGGGACCCTGTAAATACAAGCAGAAGATATGGATTTGGTTTTCTTGGAACCTTCAGCAATTTTTTAGTAGATGGAGTCATAGTCCATTGTGGTTGAATTGGTATTGATAGAGAAGATATTAGAGTAAGCAATTAGCTTATACTAAAATGGCTTTTGAATTCTGGGTTTGAGTAAGCAAAGAACTCACTACTGTGATATATGTATACTTAGGTTGTATTATTCTTTTCGAGTAATGCTATACATCATGAAAAAAATTTCATGAAAATGATCATGAAAGATTCTCCACCGTTAGGTTACACATACAAGAAAACACCACACACAAATCAAAGGATGAAAAATCCTCATGAAGCATTTCATAATATTTTTTTCATGATCCCTAACATTATTCTTTTCGGAGTCCAGTAGCATCGAGCCAAAATTGATTGATATATACAAATGGTACTATTTTAAACAACGTGAGTGTTTGTTTATTCGCAATTTGCAAGTTGTAACAACCAAAAAATCATGATGTTTCAAGCCTTGCCTTGTGGCAATGACCACAATTTCAAACTGTCTGTGTTCGGCACCTGAATTGTTTATAATTTTATTTATTTATTTGTTATGAGAGGATGTGTTAGATTATTTGATATAATTTTTACTTGTAATTTATTATGGGGAAATTTTTTTTTTTTGATTACTATAAACTTTTAACTTATATTAAACTGCACTAAACTTACTTTATATTTGACTAAGTTATTGAGTGACATGCACTATATATAATACATGAGATTGAGCCATTTCAAGCAAATGAAATTACCATTCCCAGTAGGACTTTTTAAAAATTATTACATATTAATAAAAAAAATTTATGATTTGAATTATTAATATTTATATTTATTATTTTTTATGACAACCACTAATGTGTAATTCTCTCATTCAATAACAACTACCACATGGAGCAAATGTTCCACGGCTTCTTTATCTTCGTCTTAGCTTCTTTTCTTTAAAATAATTTTTATTGACGAATTCTCGACCTTATGTTGGGTCAAAAGGGAGAGTTAGTGAGTCATGATAGAGATCCCCTCTAATCACCACCCCCCACAACCCCCACAGACACGTGACGGGTGGTGATTGGAGGAGCAGGAAAAAAAGAAAAAAGAAAAAAGAAAAAGAAAAAGTAACCAATAAAAGAGAGAGGGGGTCAAAGGGGGTGGGGGAAAAGGAGGCATGAAACATTTTTGGGGAGAGAAAATGCCGTATACTTGCAACCACCCACTAATTTTACGTATCGGACAAAGTAAGGACTCAAATATCAGATCTTTTGATTATATATTTGAAAGTTATTGAAAAAACTAAAATTTCGTGATTATATTTCAATTAAATAATGAATATTAATTCTAATTAAACAATCAACAATAAATTAACACAACGATTTAACGTAAAAAAAAAAATCACAATTAGAGCGCCTCCAATTGTGATAAAAAAAAAATTACGGAATCTAGTCTATTTCGTGCAGGAGCGAAATGGTTATTTATACCTAATAATGGGTGAACTACTATTATAGTTGTTGGGTTGGGTTTCCATCCTATGTGGAGGAAGGCCCAAAACATTTAGTAAGCCCATGTAAATTCCAAAGCCCACATGGAGAGGTTCTGTTTTTTGAAAAGATCTGGCCCATAAGTTTAGGGTTACAAACCTTTTCTTTGTACACAAAAAAAGAGACATAGAAGCTGCCACCAAAACAGAGAGGAGAGGAGAAATTCTGTCCAGCAGTGATCAAGCTATCCGATCAACAAGAATCTGTGGTCCGATTGAGCTGAAATTTGGTAGGCGAGTTCACAACTCAAGACTCTAAATTCTGGACGGTGGAGATCACATTTGGAGTTTTCTACTGCTGGTTTTTGGCCCGTGAACAGTACCATTTTTGGTGAGATTTTTCCTAAACTTTGTAGTTTGATCTTTGGTTGCCAAGGAAGCTTATTTGTAAGTTGTTCTTGATTGTTTGCCTCTAGTTCTATCTAGAGAGAACTCTTGTATACCCATTATTTGTTTATAGTGGAGATATTTGGTAGACTACGATCCCGTGGTTTTTCCTTTCCACATCGGGAAGGTTTTCCACGTTAAAAATTTGTTGTCGCCTTGTTATGTGATTGTTGGATCATCGTTTTCAGATTATTTTCAGAATATATTGTGCTCTATTAAATTACTTCCTGATAGGTTCACACAAAGAGGGAGAATAAACTACTTCCGCTATTTTTGTACCGAATTCGGATATTTCGAATTGATTTTTTGTTTTGTTTTCTCCCAACATAGTGGTATCAGAGCTTGGTTCATATTTTTGTACATCTTGTGTTGAATAATGGAAGCAAATTTTAGTAGAATGGTTACCTTGAATGGTTCTAATTATCACACATGGAAAGGAAAAATGGAAGACCTCCTTTATGTGAAACAATTTCATCTACCCCTCCCAAATTTCAGCTCAATCGGACCACAGATTCTTGTTGATCGGATAGCTTGATCACTGCTGGACAGAATTTCTCCTCTCCTCTCTGTTTTGGTGGCAGCTTCTATGTCTCTTTTTTTGTGTACAAAGAAAAGGTTTGTAACCCTAAACTTATGGGCCAGATCTTTTCAAAAAACAGAACCTCTCCATGTGGGCTTTGGAATTTACATGGGCTTACTAAATGTTTTGGGCCTTCCTCCACATAGGATGGAAACCCAACCCAACAAATCTCATAGTAGTTCACCCATTATTAGGTATAAATAACCATTTCGCTCCTGCACGAAATAGACTAGATTCCGTAATTTTTTTTTTTATCACAATTGGAGGCGTGTATTGATTGTTGAGAACCGAACAAAGTCACAGTGAAGAATATGTGGACTCTTGGGAGACATTTAGAATGTCATTGTCTAACTCGGCTCCAGATGGTGTAATCAATATGGATCTGGCTAAGAGCAGTATTTTAAATGAAGAGATGAGGAGGAAATCACAGGGATCTTCTTCACAGTCAAAGGTTTTGGTTACAGAAAGGAGGGGGAGAAGCAAGAGCAGAGGTCCGAAGAACAGAGATAGAGGTAGAAGCAAGTCCAACAAGTTTGCTAATGCTAAGTGTTATCATTGTGGCATGAAAGGGCACATCAAGAAACAGTGCAGAAAATTGAAGAGAGAAAACAAGGAGAAAGGGATTGAGCATGATGGAAAGGATAATGATCAAGTTGCCACCGCTACTTCCGAAGACTTTCTCACTGTTTATGATGAAGGTGTTATTAACATAGCATGCCATGAGACCAACTGGGTGATTGATAGTGGTGCCTCTATTCATGCTACATCTCGAAAAGATTTCTTCACATCCTACATACCTGGTGACTTTGGTTCAGTAAAGATGGGTAATGATGGCTTGGCCAAAATTATTGGTGTTGGAGACGTGCACTTGGAGACGAATAATGGCACGAGGTTGGTTCTTAGAGATGTAAAGCATATTCCTGATATCCGTATGAATTTGATTTCTGCAGGTAAACTTGATGATGAAGGGTATTGCAACACTTTCAGTAATAATCAGTGGATGCTCACTAGGGGTGCTATGGTTGTGGCTCGAGGCAAGAAGCATTCTACTTTGTACGTAATGCAAGCAAGGCTCCCCAAAGAAGCTATTAATACAATGGATGATGAGTCTACAGTGGAATTGTGGCATAAAAGGCTTGCTCACATGAGTGAGAAAGGCCTGGCAACATTGGCTAAAAAGAATCTTCTTTCTGGAATGAAGAATGCACTTTTGAAAAGGTGTACTCACTGTTTGGCAGGAAAGCAAAATAGAGTTTCCTTCAAGAGTTCCCCTCCTTCAAGAAAGCCAAATATACTTGATTTGGTATATTCAGATGTCTGTGGTCCTATGAAGACAAGAACACTTGGTGGCTCCCGTTACTTTGTGACCTTCATAGATGATTATTCAAGGAAGTTGTGGGTCTACACTTTAAAAAGCAAAGATCAAGTGTTGGAGACTTTTAAACAATTCCAAGCCTTAGTTGAGAGGCAGACTGGGAAGAAGCTCACGTGCATCAGAACAGATAATAGGGGAGAGCATTGCGGTCCTTTTGATGATTATTGCAGACAACAGGGTATTTGACATCAAAAGACACCCCCGAAGACTCCTCAGTTGAATGGTTTAGCTGAAAGGATGAACAGGACACTAGTTGAAAGAGTTAGATGCTTACTTTCACAGGCACGGTTGCCAAGATCCTTTTGGGGTGAGGCTTTGAGTACAGTTGTACATGTTCTTAATCTCACACCATGTGTTCCTCTTCAGTTCGATGTACCAGACAGAGTTTGGACTGGCAAGGATGTTTCCTATGATCACCTGCGTGTCTTTGGATGTAAAGCATTTGTTCATATTCCCAAAGATGAGAGGTCTAAGCTTGATATGAAGACCCGACAGTGTATTTTTCTAGGCTATGGCCTAGATGAGTTTGGCTACAGGTTATATGATCCAGTTGACAAGAAACTAGTGAGAAGCCGAGATGTTGTATTTATTGAAGATCAAACTATGATATTGAAAAAGCAGATAACACAATGTCCTGGCATAGTGATGGTTTAGTTGACTTGGATCCTGTTCCTCTGACAGATTTACCTGCACAGGTTGAACATGATGTTCAGAATGACCAACAAGGTCTAGGTGATGCTGATGACCCCTTACAGATCAAGACAGGTGATGAGACTCTTGAGCAGTTGGCAACACCAGAGATACCACCAGATGTTCCAACCAGGATGTCAGCTAGAGACCGACATCCTTCCATTTGGTATTCTGCAGATGACTATGTATTAATGACTGATGGGGGAGAGCCCAAGGGTTATGTAGAAGCCATGGAAGATGATCATAAGCTGGAATGGGCTGATGCGATGCAAGATGAGATGCAATCATTGTATGACAATCACACTTTTGAGTTGGTGAAACTGCCTAAGGGCAAGAGAACTTTAAAGAACAAGTGGGTGTACAGGGTGAAACATGATGAACTCACTTCACAACCACGATACAGAGCTAGACTCGTTGTCAAAGGGTTCAGTCAGAGAAAAGGCATTGATTTTGATGAGATCTTCTCACCAGTTGTAAAAATGTCTTCTATTTGTGTGGTTCTTGGCTTAGCCGCTAGTCTAGACTTAGAGATTGAGCAAATGGATGTGAAAACTGCCTTCCTTCATGGTGACTTGGAAGAAGAGATTTACATGGAACAACCAAAGGGTTTCAGGGTGAAAGGAAAAGAGGATTATGTGTGTCAGCTAAAGAAAAGTCTTTATGGTCTGAAGCAAGCACCCAGGTAGTGGTATAAGAAGTTTGAGTCAGTTATGGAGGAGCAAGGCTACATGAAAACTACTTCTGACCATTGTGTATTTGTGTAGAAATTCTCTGATGATGATTTTATTATTTTACTGCTCTATGATGATGACATGTTGATTGTTGGCAGGAATCCTTCAAGAATTGACAAATTGAAGAAGCAACTAAGCAAGTTCTTTGCCATGAAAGACTTGGGGCCAACAAAACAAATTCTTGGTATTCGAATCTATCGAAACAGAAAAGAGAAGAAATTGTACATGTCACAAGAGCAGTACATTGAAAAGTGCTTGAAAGATTCAATATGAACAATGCTAAAGTGGTTAGCTCACCTCTTGCTACTCATTTTAAGTTAAGCACTAATCAAAGCCCTTCTACAAATAAAGAGAAGGAAGATATGGAAAGAGTTCCATATGCCTCAGTTGTGGAAAGCTTAATGTATGCAATGGTCTGCACAAGGCCATATATAGCTCATTCAGTTGGTGTGGTTAGCCGATTTCTTTCAAATCTAGGAAGAGAACATTGGAATGCAGTAAAGTGGATAATGAGATATCTTAGAGGCACTTTCAGGTTGACACTTAGTTTTGGAAATGGACAACAAATTTTAGTTGGCTACATTGATGCAGATATGGCAGGAGATGTGGATACCCGTAAGTCTACTTCGGGTTATTTGATCACTTTCTCAGGTGGAGCTGTTTCTTAGCAGGCAAGGTTGCAAAAATGTGTTGCACTCTCTACAACAGAGGCAAAGTTTATTACGGCAACAGAAGCTTGTAAAGAGTTGCTATGGATGAAAAAGTTCTTGACAGAGCTTGGTTTCAAACAACAACAATATGTGTTGTTTTGTGATAACCAAAGTGCTATTCACTTGGCTAAGAACTCTACATTCCATTCGAGGTCGAAGCACATCGACGCGAGGTACCATTGGATAAGAGAAATTCTTAATCATAAGTTGTTAGAACTTGGAAAAATTCATACTGATGATAATGGTGCTGATATGTTGACATGTTGCTCAATTGCCGGGATGGAGAATCCCTCCACCTAGTTGGAAAGGGGGAGATTTGTTTGGTTCGGTTTCCATCCTATGTGGAGGAAGGCCCAAAACATTTAGTAAGCCCATGTAAATTCCAAAGCCCACATGGAGAGGTTATGTTTTTTGAAAAGATCTGGCCCATAAGTTTAGGGTTACAAACCTTTTCTTTGTACACAAAAAAAGAGACATAGAAGCTGCCACCAAAACAGAGAGGAGAGGAGAAATTCTGTCCAGCAGTGATCAAGCTATCCGATCAACAAGAATCTGTGGTCCGATTGAGCTGAAATTTGGTAGGCGAGTTCACAACTCAAGACTCTAAATTCTGGACGGTGGAGATCACATTTGGAGTTTTCTACTACTGGTTTTTGGCCCGTGAACAGTACCATTTTTGGTGAGATTTTTCCTAAACTTTGTAGTTTGATCTTTGGTTGCCAAGGAAGCTTATTTGTAAGTTGTTCTTGATTGTTTGCCTCCAGTTCTATCTAGAGAGAACTCTTGTATACCCATTATTTGTTTATAGTGGAGATATTTGGTGGACTACGGTCCCGTGGTTTTTCCTTTCCACATCGGGAAGGTTTTCCACGTTAAAAATTTGTTGTCGCCTTGTTGTGTGATTGTTGGACCATCGCTTTCAGATTATTTTCAGAATATATTGTGCTCTATTAAATTACTTCCTAATAGGTTCACACAAAGAGGGAGAATAAACTACTTCCGCTATTTTTGTGCCGGATTCGAATATTTCGAATTGGTTTTTTGTTTTGTTTTCTCCCAACAATAGTGTGTCCTTCAATGGTGCACTATCTTCATATTAAAGACAAAATTTGATATCAGTTCTTCAAAAATTTGGAAAAAACCTCTCATTTTTTTAATCTCTTTTATTATGATATTATTCATAAATGACTTCAATATTTATTTTTTGTGAATAAATTGAAACAATGACATTTTGTCAAATAATATCGTTTTTGAGTTAATAACCCAATGAGGGATGTGCTGTTGGAAATTTAAGATTCAATCTTTCTAACTTTGCAATTCTGATGGTGATCTTGCTTGGAGAGTTTGGTCCAAGTGTATAAGATGGTGGAGGGAGGATTGGGTTATGTCCCATACAGAATTTGATGCACTGATGGTTATCCGATAAATAACTATTCCAACTTGGAAAAAAACCTTTGGGAAGTGAATTTTGTACACGATGTTGTGGTGGACAGTGAAAAAACCAGGAAATGTAGTGTTTAATAATTGAATTCCAAGTTGGGAAGAAATGGTTAAAAATTGTTAAACTTAAGAGCTCAATGTGGTCCAATCCAAGGCCTACTATTGAAGAAAGATTACACAATCTCAGATTTTCTGAGATGCCTGGATGGAATTAGAAGTCTAAAGGTTTGAGCAGCTCCAGGGGTTGTGTTTGGTTCAAGAATTTGGAAAAGGAAACCTTTCACTTAATTTTACACACCTTTTCTCTCTTCCTTTCTAAATCCCTCTCCAAATCTATGAACTAAACACAACCTAAAGGGAGCAATTTTGGCATGAACCTTTTGTGCTGATTGGGGCGTCACTGGGGTGTGGAATTTCTTTAAGGGTGCTCTGTTTTGGCTCAGAGTTTATTTGCAGTGGGTGGAATTTCTTTAAAATTTGATGGATTTTCAATCGTGACAATCTCTTTTATAATAGCATACCCAAAATCCATAATCCTTAAAAAAATTAGCATAGTAAATTCTGACGCATGATTTCAAACCCAAGCAATTCCTCCTCAATCCTGAAGCGATTTTTTTAAAACTCAAAATAAGCAAAACAGATTATTATATCATAATCCATACACTCCATATTTCAGAAACATATGCCCTTGGACATTCTAGTTGGTACAATTATTGTTGAAGCAAGTAAATACAGGATGTGTAACGACCCAATCTTGGCAAGGCAAAACCCTGCCAAGAGGGTGCACCTTCTAGTTGGTACAATTATTGTTGAAGCAAGTAAATACAGGATGACTTATCGACATAAGTTGATCTAGATCATAAATTAAACAACACAAACACTTACCATAAAACATAATTTATTCATCATCTGCATCATTCATCAATGGAAATCAGTGCGGATGCATCTTATCACCGTGATGCCAAAAGTGATAAAGCCAGCACAGAAAGCTATGAAAGTCCATGGATTAGCAAAGTATGTACGTTTCAGCTCTGCCATATTATTTTCCCACCAACGTTTTCTGTACTGAGCAGCAGCACTGGCCGTTTCAGTGAAATAGAACTCCCCAAGAACAGTTTTCTTGCAGAGATTGTTGAAGAGATTGGAGGCATCTTCATTGGCGCCTAGATGGTTGCGTATGATTTCAGCCTTTTCAAGCACTTTGACATCTTCCGGAGTGTTAATGAGCATATCCATAAGGACTGCATACGATGTGAAGTAACGTTTGACAACATTACCATGGCAACACTGCTCAAAAGCAATGAGGTTTCTCAAGAATGGCTCGGTTGAATCAGAAAGGTCCAAAGTTGGGATTTCAAAATGAGCTCTAGGAAGCAACTTAGAAGGCCTAAAACTGACCTTGTTACCGACTGCAAACTTGACTCCTGCGTATTCGAGGTCTGATGCACAAGGCATACCGTCTCTTTTCCCTACTCCGTTGTCTTTATTGGTAATATGACTCTCTCTTTTTGCTACTCCGTCATCATTATCAAGGTCCAATGCAGACGACATGGACTTGGTAATATGACCGTCTCTTTTCGCTACTGCATTATCATTATCAGGATGGTAGTGGTTGTGTAGAATATGGAGGATGTGATGATAATTACCTTCCAACTTCTTTGCTGGTGTGTTTCCATGGCTTTCTGATTTCCACTCGAGGGAGCAGCAAAAATATGAAATAACATAGTCGTGAAGAGTAGGATGCCCATGGGGGTTTATAGAAGCCACGGTGAGGTCGAACAACGCCTGGAGGACAAAGAAAGGAAGCTGGTTCTCGAGCAGTAGCAAGTCATGTCGCACGTAGACGTCGGTCAAAATGCTGCCAAAAATAGGATCGCTGCTGGGTTCGTCGATATACATATGGAAAAACCTGTGAGACCTGTAGAGAAGTTCGAGTATGAAACAACCATCAATCACCAACATCTCCACATCAAGCACATCCTCAATTTCTTCAGCATAGCATTTCTTGGCTTTCTCTAATGACTCTCTCATTTTTCCAACACATTCCACTAGCACCTTCGATGTATTAAGCTTTTCTTCTTCCAGTCCACCCTTGGACGACAATATTCGATCAAAAAGGGAATTCGCGTAACTCTTTTTGACGTCCTGCATGGGCGAATTGAGAATGTGTTGGTCCTTGCTGTGAAAAGGCCCAATAGAGACCATGCGAGGCGTATACGCACTTTCTTTCAACTTACGAAGCTCGACGGGCACCCTGTAAATGCTAGCAGAAGATTTGGATGCAGTCTTGTGTGCTCCTTCAGCCATTTTCCCAAGAAGCCTCTCAAGTTCTTTCTCACTGATACAACACTCATTCCTTTCAGTACTCTTTTCAATTGGGACCGAAACTGAATTCTCATTCATCGACAACATCAACATGTACTGCTTTGGGTGAAAATGGTTTAGGATTTCAATGAAATTACTCAAACTCTGGATTTGAAGAATGAAAAATTACTCAAAAATTTAAATGGTGTTGTATAAATTTAGTGGGCATACTTTATTTTTGTTATAAGCTTTTAAATGATTATCATTTTGAACTTTGTTGAAACAAAGTCTTCCTGGGGGACACAATCAAATTACGATTGTTAGATCCTTGCTTACAGAATCTTATTACTACGTAATTGGATATAACTATTTGTGATGAGAAATATGACCAATCATTTTAGTGAAATATGTCATGAGTTATTGTAATATTTGTTATAAAATAATATGATTATATTATATATTGTGATTGGATATATGCAGTGTGAACATATCGCAACACAGGAAGGCTGCTGTGCGCAATGTACATTAGTCACCGTTGTGTGCATGATGGGATTCATTTCGGCTGTATAATTTAAATCGTTAAGATGCATTAAGTAAAATATCTCTGTAAACAATTTAGTTGATCAGATCGGTAAACCTACATTTATATGCAATTTCATACTGATAGTTATATCTAACATTTTTTTTTCCAGATACAAATTTAGGGGTGGTTAGGGATGATTTAAATAAGTACATTTTTTGACTTTTTATGAAATATGAGTTAGGTATAGGTTGAGTTTGAAGTGATATAGTAGAAAGGTGCACCAAGGATCCTCTAGAGTGAAATTTCTCTAAAGTTTCCTAGAGTACTATATTGTGTGGTTGAGATTTACTGGCAAGTCAACCACACAATGTAGCACTCTAGGAAACTTTAGGAAAAAATCACTCTAGAGGATCCTTGCTCTAGAAAGGTGATGTGACTTAAATAGGATAATGACTCTTTGACACTTTTAAATTATGACAAACAAGACTTTAATCTAATCATGGGACTATTGTCCGATCAACGTAATTTTTTATAAATATATTTTATTTAAAATATTCTAAAAAATAATTAATTTAAATTATCGAATTAACATTCGAAATAACCCCTATCATGTGCACGATAGTGGCTATTGTGCCAAATCCTATTGCATCCTTTTCTTTATATTTGGAAAATGACTTTTTTTAATAAACTTATAACTTCTTACAAATATATATATATATATATATAAAAGTAAACAATTTAATAACTTATAATAGTAATTTTATTTTATTTTATTAATTATTTTTTACTAAAATCAAAATTTTCAGACAAAGGTCCTGTTTGGTAGAGCTTATTTCCAGCTTATTTCAGCTTTTAGCTTAATTTAAACTATTTTGATGTGTTTGATTCAGCTTAACAATACAACTTATAATTTTTTGTAAGTCAAAAATCAACTTATTCTTTGAATGAAAAAAAAAACTTAATTTATAAGTTAAAAATCAACTCTTATTAACGATTATAAGTTATAAACTATTAAAATGTAAGTTATAATTATTTTCTTACCGTTCTACTAAACAGGACATAGGCCCAATAATACCTTGACTAGAAAAATAAAAAGTCTTTTCATTTTATCATTTACCTAGTCGTTCTCGGGTCAATGACATAACACTCAACTTTTTCTTTTAAAAAGTGGCTTTTTTCTAAAGTGGGCGATGCATGTTCTGATAAAGTATAGCATGTGTGAATCATATTGTGTCATTAATTTAAAATTTTAGGTGTCAAACCACAAAACATACAATCAAAATGAATAAAGTTACATACTGCCGGACTGCCGGACTCAGAAAATTAAATTAGAGGGAGTATTTATTAATTATAATATTAAAAAAATTTATAAAAATATTTTACGTAAATTTTTACGATTGATTTCGAGAAACATAAAAAAAAAATAATGTTATTTATAACTAGTGTATCATGAACAATATAAAAAAATATAGATATAAGATAAAGTTACATACTGCCGGACTGCCGGACTCAGAAAATTAAATTAGAGGGAGTATTTATTAATTATAATATTAAAAAAATTTATAAAAATATTTTACGTAAATTTTTACGATTGATTTCGAGAAACATAAAAAAAAAAATAATGTTATTTATAACTAGGGTATCATGAACAATATAAAAAAATATAGATATAAGTCTTAAAATAAATTATTGGGTAAATTACAAATACATCCTCTGAGGTTTGATTAAGGCCAAGTTTGGGTAGTTTAAAAAAAGTCAAAAAGCCAAAAAGTTATTCAAAAAGTTAAAAAGTCATCACTATTCACCAAAAGTCAACAATTACGGCTGCACAATTCCCAATTCTAATTTTCTCCTACAAACTAATTTTTACAATTTTTTATTACACATTTTTCCATAAAAAGTCAAAAAGTTAACCCAAACATTTATATTTTCAACCTCAACTTTTTAGTCTAAAAAGACAAAAAGTACACTTATTTAGTCTTCCCAAACTTGGCCTAAAATACTAATCGTCCCCTGTAATTTTAGAAATTACATTCCACCCTCTGAGGTTTCTAATTTCATAACAAATAGCTCATTTAATTAATGAATCATCAAGTCAATTAACAGTTTTTAATGATATTCGAAATATATTTCAATTAATAATTTAGGTAATTTTATTATTGTATAGAAGATCAATTATGAATTTCATTTTTTTAGTTAATTATGTTAAATAAAAAATACTAACAAAGAGGTATTTGTAATTTTCCAAACAACAGAGGCAACTTATATTTTAAGCAAATCCCATACGGTGTATTTGTAATTTATCCTAAATTATATAATGATAAATTATTTTTTCATACAAAATTTGATTAAAAATTCAATATAATAGTAATATCACGTCATCATTAGTATGTGATACCACCAAATAATAGTAAATAAACACATAGAGAGTAAACCTCAATGTCAAATGTAACTAACAACCAAAAAATTTTATATTTTTATAGTGAGATTACTTATACTTGCATGTCAATAATAATGACATCACCGTTACATTCAAATTTTTTTATAAAGTTTTCATAGATATTATGATTTATAGTAGTTTCTTCATTTTCAATCAAAACAACTATTATTGTTCTCATAATTTTTAAAATGTCATTGATAATTCACTCTAATAATATTTTTATACTTTTTTTATTTTCTTTATATTTGTTAAAAAAATAAAAAAATAAAAAAAAAATAAAAAAAAAATAAAAAAACCTAAAATCCAGGGGCACGTGAACCCCCTGGTTCAATCCCACGTCAATTAGGGTGGGATTCTTATTTCCACTTTATAAGTATACTAGGCTTCTAATTATCAATTGGCCTTTTCTCCTAAAGAGAAATAAAATCATAAGATCTCGGTCAAAGAGGATAATATATTAAAGGAGCGTGAGAGGACAGGCGTCACAAAATTTAGCATTAGAATGAGAGATGTCCGGCAAATTCTCCCGCTGTTGCAGCCCATTTCGCGGGGGGTTATGTTGAGTCAATCTCAGATCGACCAAGAAAGGACTTTCACTTTCACTTTCACTTTATAAGCACATTGACCCCCTCCACCTATCAATAGGCCTTTAAAATAGTGAGGAGGAGACCGGCTCCCTCAACCACAAAGTAGATAGTATATTGCTCGGCAGCTGAGTTATTTCAACACTCACCCCAGCAATAGGCCTTTTTCTCCAAAGAGGAACAAAACTATGGGACTCCGATCAAAGCAGACAATATATTGACGGGGCGCGAAAGGACAGGCATTCGCAAAATTTTTATAAGGTGGAAGTGGAAGTCCCTCCTTGGTCGATGTGGGATTGACCCAACATTATACATTTTAATTGATATATCAGTTAGTGTATTAACAGGTAATGTAACATAGTTTTATTAATTTTGAGTCTTTATAGTTTACATAATAGGTGGGTCTATAGTTTTGAAGTTGCATACTATAACATGTGTTGGTATACTAATTGGTATACCAATTGATGCGTGTAGCACCATTGCATCAAAATTTATGAATTTTTTAATTTTAAATATTTTTTATTTAATTTTTTTTTTATTTATAAAAGTTACAATAATTTGTAGTTGGGAAATGAAATTACATCTTTTGTGGTAGTGTTGTGTGCATTTTTGTGGTAATGTTAAATATTTTTTCATCCAAATATTTTTTAACTAGAAAATGTATAACAATAAAATAAAATACATAATAATATCACAAAAATACCTAATTTTATTTCTCAATTATAAATTGTTGTAATTCCTACTAAAAGAAATATATAATATTTATCATAAAAATATATAATGCATCACAAAAATATGTAACAAATATCCAGACTCATCTGTAGTGCAATTTGCCTCTATTTTCTTGACTGGCCTTACAAGATGAAAGAATTGAATTTCAAGGTAAGTTTGATGAAAATCAACATAAAAACCCGTACTTATATGATCAACTCACAAAATTATATACAAAAATAAATAATTTATTATTAAAATCATATCTTTTTTATTTTTAATTTTTAATTTTTTATATGATCATGTAACTTATGTCATTTATAATAATCAAACCCTCACCTATATTTTTTCTTGAAAATTGATTTATCCATCGAATTTTAATTTATTTGAATCGGTTCCGATTGGTAGCTCGAATAACACGGCTCGAAATCTGGCTCGACCCCAAAACGACGTCGTTTTGGTGTCGAGTTTTTTTTTTTTTTTTTTTTCTTTCTTCCCTGGTTTTGTTGCAGAACGAAGAAGAAGAAGAAGAGAAGGGAGGAGGGAGGGGAGAGGAGGGGGCCATAAAAACCGGTTGGAGGAGGAGGGGAGGCTGGGCAGATGACGGTGGTGCTGCGACGTCAGCGGGGCTGGACAGACGACCGGGGCTGGGCGAGGCGACGGTCGAGGGGGCCATAAAAATCGGTTGGAGGAGGAGGGGAGGCTGGGCAGACGACCGGGGCTGGGCGAGGCGACGGTCTGCTGCGACGATCGGCGGCGGCGGTGGCGGTGGCGAGGCTCTGCTTCTCCTCTGCTTCTTCCCTTCCTCCTCTCTTCTCTCCCTCTTTCTCCTCTATTTCCT